GAAATAACATTCTAACATGAATAAGACAGGGCCACCAGCCAGGAGTAATTCACAGTCTACTTGACTGAACTTATGAAGTATGTGGTATTATTGTCATCATTTTTCAGAGAAATTGAGATTCAGAAAGGCTGATCAGTCAAAATCAAACCGATAATAATAGCAGGGCCAGGACTAGAATGGCCATCTTTGTACCTGCCTTTGATCTTCCCTAAACACCAGGCTGACTGTTCTAAAGCTAAGGAAAAAGGACATAGAGGCCTGATCTCAAGTTCACTACCAGCTGCCCCATAAACTGTCAATATCCATTATCTCCTGCTATGCTACAGTGGCTTCAAATGCTGACTCATCTCACCAGGCATGGTGGGCGGCACGTGGCTGTAATCCCAGCAATTCAGGAGGCTGGGGTAGGAGGATCACAAATTGGAGTCCAGCCTCAGCAATTTAATGAGACTGTGTCCCAAAATAAAACATTAAAAAGAACTGGGAACAGGGGCTGGGGATTTGGCTCAGTGGCAGAGTACTTGCCTCGCACATGTAAGCCACTGGGTTTGATCCTCAGCACCAAATAAAAATAAAGATATTGTGCCCATCTATAACTTAAAAATTAAAAAAAAAAAAGAACTGGGGACATAGCTCAATGGTAAATCACCCCTAGCTTCAATCTCCTATATCAAAACGACAAAACAAATAAAACTCAAATACTGCCAAGTGCAGTGGTTCATGCCTACAATTCCAGTTACTTGAGCACCCAAGACAAAATCACAAGTTCAAGGCCAGTCTTCACTACTTAGCAAGACCCTGTCTCAAAATAAGAGAATTGAGTGGTGGCCCATGCCTATAATCCCAGCGACTTGGAAGGCTGACACAGGAGGATCACAAATTTGAGGCCAGCCTCAGCAATTTAGTGAGAACCTGTCTTAAAATTTTTAAATGGGCTGGGGATGTGGCTCAGTGTTGTAAAGCATCCCTGGGTTAGAGGCCCAGGACCAAAAAACAAAGACCTCAGTGCTTTCTGGGGCCTAACAAATACACTAGTGAAGTCAGTCACATAGAGTCTATGGAGAAGTGAGAATGCATGTCCAGCTACTGCTCAGACCATCACTGCATAGACAAGGGATTGCACCAAGTTCCAAGTTTTCCATGAGAAGCCAATTATTTAGGCTTTCATGTAAGCAATGCCAATATTTCAATGTTCAATCTTTATTCACATTTTTCAAAGACAGCAAAAAAAAATATATATATATGGCTTTAGTTTGACTATGTTCTGTGTGGAACCCACTCCCTCTCCACCTGCCAGCAGCCACCAGTGGGAGGATGAGTTTGAGTCCTTTAGCAGAGACAATGGTTGCCAAGGGACCGCCTGCTGAGCCACAGGGAGAGAGGCAGGACCAGAGGTGCCTCAAGTCCCATTCTTATCCCAAGGGGTTCTATTCGTGCTCCTTGGCCTTGAGGAGGACCCTGACTTCCAGCTAAGTCAGAGTCACACTAAAAGTGGCAACTGGCACTATGTGGCAGGTGTCCTACCCATAACAACTATGTTGGTGAGGAGCCTAGAAGATGTCACAGGTTGGATTTTTTTGTTTTGTTTTGTTTTGAACACTATGGATTGAACCTAGGTGTGCTTAACTACTGGGCTACATCCCCAGATTTTTTTTTTTTTTTAAGACAGAGTCTCGCTAAGTTGCTTAGGGCCTCACAAAGTTGCTGAAGCTGACTTTGTTTGGGTGCTAGAGAGCAAACCCAGGGCCTTGTGCATGCCAGGCAAGCACTCTATCAACTGAGCTATATCCCCAGCCCCTGAAGCTGGCTCTTGACCTTGGGATCTTCCTGCCTCAGCCTCGGAAGCGTTGGAATTACAGGTATGTGATACCACCCCCAGCTAAGCTTTTTCATATTTATTTTTCCCCTCCCTGTTTTTTTTTTTCCCCCTCCTGCAAATCCCTCAGAGAAGTGGGAATCTGATGGCAATATCCAGAAAGGTTCTCAGAGTGAAGAATCCAAAAGCAAAACCTAGCTGGAGTTTAGAAATAAGGGGAGATGGGGCTGGGGATGTGGCTCAAGTGGTAGCGTGCTCCCCTGGCATGCGTGCGGCCCGGGTTCGATCCTCAGCACCACATACCAACAAAGATGTTGTGTCCACCGAGAACTAAAAAATAAATATTAAA